AGCTAGTTAATAAATTAGAAACATGAAAATTAACAGCAAAGTTAATTACATATTTACAAATTAAAATAAAATAAAGCTTACATGACAAAAAAAAAAATTAATTAAGGGCTATTTTACATAAAAATGGTAGAGATATTTAAACATTATCAGGCTTATCTACAACCTCATGATCAGGTTTTTTTTCACCGATTTCAGGATCTCGTCCCTCATCCAATTCTTTTGCATCATTTCTCTTGCCAACAAAATAAATTATCGAAATCGCAACGAGCACAAATGCCCAATAACTAAAATAACCAGCTGTTGTACCAACTGTTGCTTTTGCACGCCATCCAAATATTGTTTTCATAATTCCCCAGAATTCATTAGTCTTTTCATTACAACATGATGCAAACCATAGCTGGACTTCCTCTGTTCCAGTTGCTTCTTGGAATTCATGGATTGAATATGAAAATAGACCAGCTGCTATGAAAAGAAGAAATGCCGAAGTAACTGAAAAAAAAATATTTATTGATAGTTTGTGAGATCCTTTGTAAAGAATCCACCCAACAATGAATCCTGTCAAAAGCCCAAGAATTGCTGGAATTGGTAAATCTGATGCAGGTCTATCAAATCCGATCTATTTTTTGAAATGAATGATTACTTGTCATGTGACATGAATAACTAATTGATTATGATGATAATAACTTACGCCTCCTATGAACACAAAAGTTTCGACAGCTTCACGACATATAACTGTAAATGGCAACAAAATCAATGCCCATCTGTTACCAGTTTGGTGCTTTCTCAAATAACTTTCAGTTGCTTCTTCGAGTTTTCTTTCCCATTTTTTTCTCCATTGTTGAACTCTAGCCATACTTAAAGCCATAAAAGTAATTACAACAGAAGCAATAAAAGCAAATGAACCCTCTATATATATAAAAATATATATGATGCACGTAAATAAAGTGTAAAATGTAAATTATATGAATTTCAAAAATTTTACAGTGTACAGCCAAACGGATGAACGGAACACATGAATAACTAATTGATTATGATGATAATAACTTACGCCTCCTATGAACACAAAAGTTTCGACAGCTTCACGACATATAACTGTAAATGGCAACAAAATCAATGCCCATCTGTTACCAGTTTGGTGCTTTCTCAAATAACTTTCAGTTGCTTCTTCGAGTTTTCTTTCCCATTTTTTTCTCCATTGTTGAACTCTAGCCATACTTAAAGCCATAAAAGTAATTACAACAGAAGCAATAAAAGCAAATGAACCCTCTATATATATAAAAATATATATGATGCACGTAAATAAAGTGTAAAATGTAAATTATATGAATTTCAAAAATTTTACAGTGTACAGCCAAACGGATGAACGGAACACATAAAAGAATTTCATTTTGCTATGACAAAGTTTGACCGTATATAAATTTTACTAACCCCATGCTGCTCCGTTTTCTTCCCATAAATTTTTTGCAACAGTATAAAAAACAACTATGAAGATAATACCAATTAGAAGTGAAATACCCAAACCAATACCTGTACCAATCCAAATTTGACGTTTAAGAGTTCTTCTCATTGCGACATCTTTTTCTGGGACAAGCTTATCAATAAACCCAAGCAGTACGGCAAGGATAATTGTGACCTCAAGAGTTTCTCGTAAAAGGATGAAATAAGCGGGGACATCAAATAAATATACCATCTTAATTAATTTTTTTTTTTGTTGGACGAAGATCGTAAGGTTTGACTTGATTTATTTACTGCCTTTTTATAAGAAAATTTAATTAAATACTTGTGTAAACATTTTAATCATATTTAGTGTTTTATTAATTGCCACCCCTTGTGTAAATATTTTTTAATTTGACCAATCTTTAAAAAAAATTTTACATAAATTTAGATTATCGTAAATAAATAAATAAATATCTCTTTTTGAACTATAAAAAATCTTGCAACTATTATTTGATTTTTGTAAACTAACAAACATCTCAAAAAGTAAATTGTCCGCATCAGGTGTTATTTATTATTGATTTAAAACTTTTTGAGGAGAGGATTCCATCAGGTGCTTGATTTTAAAAAAAGTTTTTTTGATCAATTTTAATGTTTTAGCTTCTTAATATTTTCCGTCATAAATAAACATCATTTACTTTTCATTTTCTCTTACATTATTTTATTAAATCAAATATTTTGTTAAAGAGGGAGGATTTATTTTTTAAAGTTTAACACTTTTGTAAATCTTGTATTGGTTACTTTGTTTTTATTTTGTGCTATATTACTACTTTGTTGTTGTAATAAAAACTGAGCTGGCTAATGAAAGAGACTATTCAAAACAAACAATAGCAAGAATTGGTATTGTTTATAATTGCATGACATGAATTTGTGGTCTAGAAATCGACTTCAATTTAATACTCGACGTTGCCAAATTCCCCATATTTAGTTATATTGAAGCGATTCCAACAACAAATTTACTAATATTACTACTAATAATATTACAAGCTGAATTTTCAAATCAATGAAATTGAGAAGGCGATCATTCCTGCAGTGTATATATACAACTTTAATATTAATGATTTTTTTAATGATTAAAAATTTTTAAATGTGTCAATTCTGCCGGTTTGGGGTTAATAGTAAACCTGCGCATAATTCCTCCCTCCATGATAATATTAATACAAAATGAAATCGTAATTCTGTAAAGAAAGATTTTAGTACTAGCTTCAAAACTACGATTTTGTTTTTTTTTGGTTTTACATTTCCATTTTGGAAGGAATTAAAAGATCTACACAGTCAAGCAACTAAGTGACTCGCACCATTACATAATCAAAACTTTTGTGTCTGTATTTAGTTAATTGTAACCATCCGTTAATTATTATTTATCAAGTTAAATGAATGAATTGGCTCAAAAATTTTAATTAATAATGAAACAATTCTTGTACAATTTTATTTATTTTGACATACAAAAGAATCGAATCTTCGATTTATTGTGTAACTGTTACTGGTTCCAATAAAATTTGGTAATCTCTATTTCAAAATCATCTGGTACTCCATTCATTCCATGAACCAATTAAAATTTGTATGTATTTGGATTCCTTCTGTTTGATAATCATAAAATTAAGTTTTTCATCAAATGATCAAATTATTTATTATTATTATTTATATAGCCGTACTTATGGTTATAAGGTTGCAGAACAGGTATATAATGCTTTACGAAAAAAATTTTTTTGTTGAGATTTCAATAGTATATAATAACGTATACCGCTAAACATGTTCCTTTTCACGTTTTTAATTATCAATCCTACCTATATAATAATAATAGTTTTATTAACATAAACAAAAAAGTATAACTAACGCGCCCTTTATAGCAATAGCATTTATTTACATGTAGCACAGGCATATGGCTGTTTCCATGTTTCCATGTTCAACGTTACATGTTACCGCCAAATTAATAATATCAAATGCCTGATGATTGTATATTTTTTCTGTTTAGGTAATGACCCCAATAGACCACCAATTGCCAACCCTGAAAAATTCCCAATGCAAAATTGACCCAAAGGATAATTCTCGATTGATATCATACAATTCATGTTCATCTATATGGCAAGCACTTACCTCAGAGAGCCATCTTCCACCTAGGATTGCCTATACCATTGAGAATAATCTGAGAATTCTCGATGAAATATTCAATGAACAGGTTGATAAAATAGAGCAGGCAAGAAATCCTACTACAAATATACGGAGGTGGCATCAACCAATGCAACATTTACAATCTGCTGGGAACACATATATAGATTTGGATGCAATGACAACATGATAAATATCTAGGGCATATGGGACCGCGATGAAGTGATTAAAATACCAAGGAACATCCATATTCTTTCCTATTCTATTAGATAATTTCATAATCATAATAAAATCTTGATAATCAATAAAGTCATAACTCTCTTACTTTTATCATATAAAAAATCTTGCTCTTTAAATTCGTAGCGCGCGCAACCATTAAAATATGGATAATAATTAAGTAGCAAATTCGATTTTTTTTCCTTGTTAATATTAACTATTGCATGCAACGAATTCAAAGCTTTCAAATTAATCGTAGAAATACAGTAAAATTCCAATTAACAAAAAAGAACAAAAATCAATTTATTTTGAAAAATGTAAAAGAGCTTTTCAATAATTGAATATCTTATCTTTTTATAGAAAAATATTATAAACTTGATAAAATTCACTATTTCAGACCTACGTATTTAACGATCTGTACTTGCTGATGTTTTTTAAATGATATGATATAACCAGGATCGGAACTATATATTAAAAAAAATCAATTTAAAATAATATAGAAAGAATGCAAAGATCGCCTAATAAATATTTGGGGAGCTGGATTAAAACTGATTTCTTTATATCTATTCCTAGATGCAAACATTATAATTGACTAGTAATAAAGAACCATCGCCACCACCATTATTAGAAGAAATTATTGTAGGTAATTATTATTTTTTTCCATCTTTTACTATATATGTAAAACATAAAGCAAGTGTAAAACTATCACATTAATCTTTCAGATGATGAAGAGAAAGAAGTAGGTTCAAACTTTATATATGCTGAGCTCGGGATAGAAGATATGATGCCATATTATATAAGTATCCATCAATGAATATGTAGATATTGCCTTCTTAAATCTATTGTTGAAGTAGTTTGTAGTCATTCATATGTAGTCCATCTTGTCTAAGTATTATGCATAAAGAGTACGATGAATCAGCAACCAATATAATGTTACCAAGAAATCAAATACATGATATATTTAATGAACAATTGATATGGTAAATATTTTTGAAAAATAACTATTAATCTATATAGGATGAACTGATAGAAATGGATTTTGGGAACTTGGATTATTACAAAAAACAATAACAATAGCATTATAAGAATAAGAATAATAATCTAGATGAAAAGAATCTTTTTTTTTCGGGAATCACAAGCCAATTCAATGCATCAAGTATTAATAAAAGCATTACGTTCAATTTATGAAAATCTACTAGAAGAAGTATTTAATCAAACAAAATCAGAAACACGATAAAATATTTCCTATGTAACTTTTCGTACCATTTCTAGAAAGTATAATTTGGCAAATTTTAATGGAATCCCATTATGGAACAAACCTTTTAAAATGGATGAAATCTGTATTAATAATTCATATGGCTTATTTGATGGCAGTGTGGTGTACATAATACACACACACATATATATAATATGTATTTATAAAATATGAAGTAGAAGTAGAAGTATTCTGAATAGATTGATTTAAAAAATTTTTTTTATTTATTCGGACAATGATTCTTCAAATTATTAGTGAAAAAGATGGTGGGAAGGATGTGATAATAATAATGGCAATGATTCAGAAGACGATACAAAAGATGATACAGAAGGTGAGGAAAAAGAGAATAAAATAAAAAAATGGATCACAAACAAAAAATCATAAAATTGTTCTGTTTCTGTTTCTTCGATGTCTGACACCGAAATAAATTCTGTCAACACAAATTTTTTTTTATACCGTTATTTTGTCGATATTAAACAAAATAATCTATTAAAGAAAATTTTAAATTGATTTATAATTAATTTAAAATGTTTATTAAACAAATTATTAAAAATGTACTTTCGATCATTTCAAATCCATTTTTGGAAAAATTAAATAATTAAATAATTAATGTTCTTATTTTGTTAACTTGAATGAATAAAAATATATAAATAATTAATTCATTTATGATCTAATATGTTTGACTCTTCTACTTCCACCACCATCTTGTTGTTGTTTCTCCAATTTTTGTTGTCTTTTGCTTTTTTTCGCTGTTGATTCATCTAAATTATTTCCTCCAAATCCTCCTCCAAAATATCCTTTAACAAATGGTTGTATAAAAACTGACCAGATTTTATAAAATGCAAATCCTGGAATCTTTGAATAGATAAGGCGAGTAAATAGTATAATAATAATTTAATATTGTGATGATGATATACTGTTAAAAGTAAGGAAAATAATAATTACTATTAAATAAAGCCGCCAAGCGAATTCAAAAAACATACTGGCCATATGTACAAACCAAGTAACATATATCACATCAAACATATATCTAAATAATTATTATCAATTAGCAAAAATAATATAGTCCATAAAATAATAATATTGATAGACAGTTGGATAGAAATAATTACGCGGTCAATCCTTCAGAATTCAGATCTTGACCAGACCAATCAATGCTACCATCATATCTATATCTTGGTGTACCATAGCTAATCAATTGTTTCCACAAGAATAAACTTACTGCCAATGTTAAACTATATTTTGTTGCTGTCCATATTGTAAAAGTGTCATAGTGATAAAGTATTCGATATATAAAATATATTAAATTGACAATCAAGAAACCTTGTTTTAAATTTTGTAAATACTTCAAATTTTCATGCGCAATTTTCTTTTCGGATTGTTTTGCCTTTTTGTGTTTTTAATTAGTGTTGAATATATTTTAGATAATAAAGTAAATAAATAAACAACTTACCATTGTTTTAAAAAAATTCAATAACAAACAAAAACCTACAAAAAATTGTAGGGGTCTAACTATATAGTTATATTTAGAAGTCACGCGAAAATTTTGATCACCAAATCAGAATATATTAATATGGGGCATGCTACAACAAAACCAGACAAAGTGAATATATATTGGTATTACCTAGGGGTAAGTAAATAAATGGGGGGACAACTCGATGTTACACATATAGATCTTGTGAATCCAAAACTGTCACGCCTTAAAAATTAAAAATGATGCG